TGTTTACCCTCCAATTTTTTACTGTCTCCCTCCCTTTTCTTTACACAAATAATGCGGGTTCATATTAACAGACTGTAATTGTAACAGGAAAACAGGAGAAAGAGAAGAAAACAAATTGCCCCAAATTCTACCATGCTCATGTTTCATGAGTTTTGTACCTGGGATTTGTTTTGGACAAGTATGGTGAGATGACAGAGACAGTGGCAGTTCCTGAGAGGAGGGGGCATGCGATGCAGGGTCACATGAAAAGCACCTGGGTTGGTCAGGAAGCTGAAGGCAGGAGGAGAAAGCTTGGCCCAGGGCCTTTCTTGTGGTTTTTGTGGGAAGGAATGGATGAGGCAGGGTAGGCAATTCTGGCTAAACTTAGGGTAGGATGGTTTGAATAATAGGGGAGGGCTCTGGGCTGTGGTGGTGGGCCCTCCTTGTCTGGTTCCTGGCCCTGGGTGATTCAGGACAAAGGCAGTATTGGCTGGTGTGTGAGTCAGATAAAGGAGGTGGCAGTGTTAGATTGGCTGATTGGCATGTGAAAGGTATGCTCATAAGAGAGTTGACTATCTAAGGAATTAACTAGCTTTGGGAGGGCTAGCAAAGACCCCAGAATGTCAAAGCATCATAAAATACAGAAAATAAAAAACATGATTAATACAGTACAGGTAGCCCATTAAATTTTTTTGTATAAATTGTGCCATGTGTATTATATAATATGTGCTGTTTTTATTTCTTTATTTTACTTATATTATGGCACAGTTCCCTGTCAATAAATATACATCCATGCCATCATTTTTTTAAAAATCTTATTTTTGTTTAAAATATTACAGATGTCCCTTTTTCTCCACAATGACCCGTTCCACCCCCTCCCTTCCCCCTCCCCAGTCCCTCTCCCCACTATTGTCCGTGTCCATGGGTTGTGCATATATGCATATAAATTCTTTGGTTACTCTCTCCCCCTCCACCCACCCGCCATCCTCCATCCCTCTGACATTCGTCAGTCTCATCTATGCTTCCATGTCATTGACTCTATTCTGTTCATCAGTTTATTAAGCTCTTTAGGTTCTACGTATAAGCGAGATCATGTGATGTTTCTCTTTCGATGCCTGGCTTATTTCACTTAGCATGGTATTCTCCAGGTCCATCCATACTGTATGCCATCATTTTTAAGGGCTGCTGAATATTTCCCTATATGAGATATACAACATTTATTTAACCAGTTCCCTGGACCGAAAACTTAGGTTTGTTTCCAATTTTTTGCTTGGTAAGCATGGCTGTGGTGACTTGTCTCTGAGCACATGTCTGATTATCTCCTTCACCGTCCCTGCTGGACTGGAGTTGATGGTCTTGGGTGTGCTTTCTTTCTGTGAGACTCAGTCCACGTCACTAATCCCCTTGCAACTCTCATGGGGTGGACTTTGTTCTCCGCAGGGCAGAAGGCCAGCGGGCTCTGAGACTGCTGGGCCTCACACTCGTTCTCCACTGGCAGCGTCATGCTGTCCCATCTTCTCTCAGGCCACATTCTTACAAGGTACTCTGTAGAGTGATGCTTCCTCGGTTGGCATTTATCCTTAGCGCAGTGGGAGAAGTGAAGCCGACATTACAGTGGGCCTTCCTCCTCTTGTCCTCACCCAGGATAGGTCTCCATGGTCAACTGGGAGTCCCTCAGGACTCCCCATTCTGATGACCCTCTCCCCCCAGGCGCAGCAGGAGACACAGAAGGCAGCCTTGCGATACGAGCGGGCCGTGAGCATGCACAATGCTGCCCGGGAGATGGTGTTTGTGGCCGAGCAGGGTGTCATGGCTGACAAGAACCGGCTGGACCCTACGTGGCAGGAGATGCTCAACCATGCCACCTGCAAGGTGAGCCAAGGTGTTCCAGCAGGTCCCCTCCCTGGTTCCCATGCTTCCTTTGCTGTCTCTTTATCATATCAGCCTCCTCACTCCTTTCTGTCACTTTTCCACTCCAGCCTTTCCTCAGCTTTAACTCTGTTTCAGGCAAACCTGTTTCTTGCCCTGCCCTGTTTCGCCCCCTGTGCTTTTTATATCCATCTCCTCTGGACTCAGACTGTCTGTTTGGCTCTTTCTGAACCTTTGCCCTCAGGTTTGGGACTATTCCAAACAGTTTATCCCTGCTAGGTGCTCTGGGTTCAACACTCACATTTTGTTATGTTTAGCTGTGGCCCCTTCTGTTTTCATAATATTCTCTCTCTCTTGCTTTTAAGCTCTGCCACTGTATTTTGATATTTGAAATGTAATCTGTGTGTCATTTCCAAGCTACTTGAAGGGGACCTAGGAGCGGGAGGATCCCTTGCATCAACTCCATTCTACCACCTTCACCGTGTAAAGAGCAAGTGTCTCAGTCCATTTAGGCTGCTATAACAAAGTAGCATACACAGGGGGCTTAAACAACAAATGTCTGTTTCTCATGGTTCTGGAGGTTGGAAAATCCAGTATCAAGGCACAAGCAGATTTTGTGTTTGGTGAGGGCCCCCTTCCAGGTTCCTGGACTGCTGGCTTTCTTTCCACTGTCCTCACATGGCAGAACGGGCAAGGGAGCTCTCCAGAGCCTTTTTGTAAGGGCAGTAATCCCACCCATGACCTAATCACTTCTTAGAGGACTGCCTCCCAAACTGTCAACATTATGGTTAGGATTTTAGCATGTGAACTTTGAGGGGGACACAAACACTTATTCTAGAGCAGCAAGTGTGAGCTGAGGGGTGGTCGTGCCTCAGGTTCTTTGAGGCCTCCTTAGTCCCAGCCCATAGCCTTGCACACAGTGCAGGAGCTCACACAGGAGAGTGTGGCACTGGGGAGGGCTGGTTGAGCTGGGAGTGGCAGGGTATTACAGGGCTCCAGTGTGCATCTGCCCAGTATGTGGCAAGGTTGGCCCCCTGGTCTTGGTGGACAAGGTAGCAGGAGCTCTTGCCTGCTCTGTGTTGGGGCATAAAAACAGAGAACCCAGTGCAGAACTGTGGCTCCCCCCACTGGAGATCCTCTGGTCCCCCCCAGCTTCCTCCCCCAGCACTGAGGGCTCCCTGAGGATGATGACTGTAGAAGATGTGCCCAAACAGACATTCTTGACAGACTCACTAGTTGCACAGAGGGCCCCGGCACCCTCCTAGCAGCCCCAAAACCAAGTGGCAGTGTGCAGGTAGCAGTAGGCAGGTGCAAGGACCCGCTGTTCTCTGTCTGAGGAAAACCATGCCCTCCCAGACAGTGGGAGTTTCCCCTAGGGTAACATTTGGAGTGGCAGCCTAGGGTAGGGGATGAGGGCAGGAGCAGGTCCCCCAGCTCAGTGATGTGTGTCATCCGCCCCACCTGGGCCAGGTGAACGAGGCGGAAGAGGAGCGGCTCCGTGGTGAGCGGGAGCACCAGCGGGTAACGCGGCTGTGCCAGCAGGCTGAAGCTCGGGTGCAGGCCCTGCAGAAGACCCTCCGGCGAGCCATTGGCAAGAGCCGCCCCTACTTTGAGCTCAAGGCCCAGTTCAGCCAGATCCTGGAGGTAGCTGTGGGGCGTGGGGGACAGGTGGGAAGGGCAGGCATGGAAAGTGAGGGCAGGGAGGCGCTGTGTGGTCTGCCTCTGTGCCATCACCAGACCAACTAGGTGGGATATGTGCTGGCGCTTGTGCTCAGAATGACCTCAAGGAAGCAGGAGGTGGAGTTGGCAGTGGGTGCTGGCCAAGATTGGAGTTGTAGGGAGTAAAGGAGAAAAAGTGAGAATCGGGAGAGGAGGAGCGGATGGAGTGGGGCAGGACGGGGCTGCCCAGTGGGGCCTGAGGGGACTGGCAGCTCCCAGCTGTGGAGAGTTGCCAACTGGCTTGTCACTCTGTTCCTTCCTCCCTCCTTAGGAGCACAAGGCCAAGGTGACAGAGCTGGAGCAGCAGGTTGCTCAGGCCAAGACCCGCTACTCTGTGGCCCTGCGCAACCTGGAGCAGATCAGTGAGCAGATTCACGCGAGACGCAGGGGCCTGCCCCCTCACCCCCTGGGCTCTCGGCGCTCCTCCCCCGTGGGTGCGGAGGCCAGGCCGCAGGAGGAGGAGGAGGATGGGGACAGCGGGATCACTGAGGGGGCCGAGGGAGAGGCCCCAGAGGAGGGCTGCAGCCTGGGGCCCGGTCCTGCCCCAGATGCGGACACACTAAGCCTGCTGAGCCTGCGCACAGTGGCCTCGGACCTGCAAAAGTGCGACTCCGTGGAGCACCTGCGGGGCCTCTCGGACCATGCCAGTCTAGACGGCCAGGAGCTGGGCGCCCGGAGTGGAGGCCGCGGGGGCCGCCACCAGCGTAGCATCAGTCTGTAGCCTGTGCTCAGGGTGGCTGGCGTGGCCCTTACCACTGCTAGCCCACTCAGGGCTGGGTGGGCTCCCAGCTACTCTCTGGGGTTCTTGCTTCCCCTGGAGAGGTCGGATTGGCTGTCAGTTCCGTCATTGGTGTGCCCCCCTCCCCCTGAGTGATTGAACAGTGTTTCTCCTGCCTCCCCTTCTCTTGAGGGGCTCTACGGATGTGGCGGAGCCCTCCTGGCAGTCCTGCCCCCATTGTCTGTCCCAGCCTGCCTATGTGTAACCTGTAAGATGCACTGTGGGGCTGTGGGGCTGTGTGCCTGTGGAAGACACCCCCTGTCCCTTCAGCGTTCCCTCCTCATGACCTAAGCCACTTTGTTCTGGGTGCCCCAGAGCAGGACTTGAAGGGTGCTGATGTCAGGAAAGGTGAAACCCAACCCCAGTGTCAACATGGAGGATATTACCAACTCCACACAGGCTCCCATGTGCATGGTGTTTTCCCCAGCAGAGCTGGGCCCTTAACATTGCCAAGGTGCTAGTGGGTCTCTACAGGGTCTGTGTTGGGAGTAGAGATGTAATGAGGTCCTGAGGCTGAGGCTGTTGCCATCCCTGCTATGAGTGACGTTTACCTTTTAGAGGATTTTGAGCTGGATCTCAGCCTATTCCTGCAGGATGGAGTTGGGGAATTTGGTGCTCTTTCCCCAACCAAACCACACCTACTCCAGGGTCCCGTGGGGAATGCTAAAATGTGGCTGCCCTTGATGTGGGGAGGGAACTCACCCTCCACAGGGAGCAGCTCCAGGTGTCTGGTGGTGCTGCCAAGCTGTGTGTGTGGTGGAGGTGAGGAGGCCACACCAGGTCTGGGTGCCTTGGGGGGACTGGTCCTTCCTGTCCCGCCCTAGGAGGGCTGAGAGCTAGACTGGGCAGGAGGGCTGTACCTAGGCCTGTGTGCTGCTGCCATCAACTGGGAGCAGTGGGCCTTCACATGGACAATGTCTCCCTGTTCTAGGGTTGAGGTAGGATGGCCACAATGAGAACTTCTGGGTTTGAGGTGGCCATGGGTGGAAGGAAGGAAGGGGGGATGTGGCCATGTGTGTGTGCATGTGCTGGTGTGTATGGGGGGAAAGGGTCTGCCCCTGATTTTATTTAAATAAAATAGTTTATGTAACAGTAATGTTTACTACCCCTGTCACGGAAGGGAGAAGGGTTGAGCAGGGTGATGGGGGCCTCTTTCAGTGGAGTAGTTAGGGAAGAAGAGTTAGATCTGAGATTTAACCAGGCCAAGGGAGNTGGGCGCCCGGAGTGGAGGCCGCGGGGGCCGCCACCAGCGTAGCATCAGTCTGTAGCCTGTGCTCAGGGTGGCTGGCGTGGCCCTTACCACTGCTAGCCCACTCAGGGCTGGGTGGGCTCCCAGCTACTCTCTGGGGTTCTTGCTTCCCCTGGAGAGGTCGGATTGGCTGTCAGTTCCGTCATTGGTGTGCCCCCCTCCCCCTGAGTGATTGAACAGTGTTTCTCCTGCCTCCCCTTCTCTTGAGGGGCTCTACGGATGTGGCGGAGCCCTCCTGGCAGTCCTGCCCCCATTGTCTGTCCCAGCCTGCCTATGTGTAACCTGTAAGATGCACTGTGGGGCTGTGGGGCTGTGTGCCTGTGGAAGACACCCCCTCTCCCTTCAGCGTTCCCTCCTCATGACCTAAGCCACTTTGTTCTGGGTGCCCCAGAGCAGGACTTGAAGGGTGCTGATGTCAGGAAAGGTGAAACCCAACCCCAGTGTCAACATGGAGGATATTACCAACTCCACACAGGCTCCCATGTGCATGGTGTTTTCCCCAGCAGAGCTGGGCCCTTAACATTGCCAAGGTGCTAGTGGGTCTCTACAGGGTCTGTGTTGGGAGTAGAGATGTAATGAGGTCCTGAGGCTGAGGCTGTTGCCATCCCTGCTATGAGTGACGTTTACCTTTTAGAGGATTTTGAGCTGGATCTCAGCCTATTCCTGCAGGATGGAGTTGGGGAATTTGGTGCTCTTTCCCCAACCAAACCACACCTACTCCAGGGTCCCGTGGGGAATGCTAAAATGTGGCTGCCCTTGATGTGGGGAGGGAACTCACCCTCCACAGGGAGCAGCTCCAGGTGTCTGGTGGTGCTGCCAAGCTGTGTGTGTGGTGGAGGTGAGGAGGCCACACCAGGTCTGGGTGCCTTGGGGGGACTGGTCCTTCCTGTCCCGCCCTAGGAGGGCTGAGAGCTAGACTGGGCAGGAGGGCTGTACCTAGGCCTGTGTGCTGCTGCCATCAACTGGGAGCAGTGGGCCTTCACATGGACAATGTCTCCCTGTTCTAGGGTTGAGGTAGGATGGCCACAATGAGAACTTCTGGGTTTGAGGTGGCCATGGGTGGAAGGAAGGAAGGGGGGATGTGGCCATGTGTGTGTGCATGTGCTGGTGTGTATGGGGGGAAAGGGTCTGCCCCTGATTTTATTTAAATAAAATAGTTTATGTAACAGTAATGTTTACTACCCCTGTCACGGAAGGGAGAAGGGTTGAGCAGGGTGATGGGGGCCTCTTTCAGTGGAGTAGTTAGGGAAGAAGAGTTAGATCTGAGATTTAACCAGGCCAAGGGAGGAGGGAAAACTTAAGAGCACATGGCTGGGGTGAACACACAGGGGAGGTCCCGCACCCTGCCTGCTGGGTGTGGACAGGTGTGTAGGGTAGAGTGGACTTGCCAGCTACTTCAGGATGGTCCACATGAGCGCCACTCCTGGATGTGAGTGAACATGAAGGAAGAGTTGCAGGATTTAGTAAATACATAGGTTGTCCCGGTTAGACTTGAATTTCAGATAGTGATTTTTGCCCCAAATGTTTAGGCTATACTTAGTTATTTGTGGTCTATCCAAAATTAAATTTTAACACAAAGGGAGACTCCCAAATCAAGGCTTGACCTGCTGTGGGTCAGGAGGGGGTTGAGTGCCTTTGGACCCCAGTCTGAAACATCAGGTGGAGAAGGGCTGATAATTTCAGGAGCATGAGGTACACAAAGAGTTTGGACTGAACTCCCATTAGATGAGGAGTGGTGTCAACCAAAGGGATGGAGTAGGTGCTGCTGGGAGGATTGGAGACTCTGGAAACCTGATAAGAAATGAGGCCTGAACACCCTTAAGGGGATAGGCAAAGGCCAGGAGTTGGAGGGACATGAGGGCAGAGCAGTGACTGGTGACCTCAGATGGGACATCAGGAGCCACTGTACAGAAGATGCACTAATGCCCTTTGACAGGTACTATCCAGGTGTGAGACTGCCTTTTCTGACCTGGCTTTATTGAGAAATAAAGTATGATAAGGCAGAGGGTGCCAAACTATTTCCTTTATCACCAGAAAAGCTGTTACGAGTTCATGGCCTATGTCCCCAGGCAAGCGAGCTTTCTGAGATGACACCCAGGTCATCCTTCCCTCCCCAGTCCCTGGCAGTGTGGACCTATAAGTCTCCTGGAGTGAAGGAACCTAGGAAAGGGGCTGGCTGTGCCCACCCAGTTTCTTGCAAAATCACCAGTCACGTAAAAGGCAGGTGTGTAGAGAGACCAGGAGGGTTAGAGCTGATGACTCTTCCTCCAAGTGGAATAAAATGCCCATAGTGAAAGG